ATGTTGGAAGCCGAGTTATTGGTCGTCAATCATCAATTGTACTGTTTTTAATATTCAAGTAAATAGTCGAGAGTAGTTCCCCCCCCAAAAAAAAAACTGCCGCAGAACTGAGGGAGACGTGCCTTTCACGAGCCAGTGTGTTGAGTTTCATTTCAGCTCAAGTTTCCACTTGTGCAAATAGTCTTTTGTTTAGATTTCTCATCCCAGAAGGCTCAAAGTCTTGGAATTGATTTTGCTTCCCGATCTTAAAAATGCTCTTGATTTTGAGTGCCGCGTTGCCGTCCATCTTTGTACTTGACTGCTGTCCCTTTGGGTAGGAAGCGGTTAAGGTGGAACAAGGGTAGGTGCCTTAATCCTGTTTTTCAGAAAGCCTTTCAACATCTTTTGAACTGGCACGCTCCTTTGATTATAAAGCTTGCCAGATGCCATCATTCAAACTTGGAGATGCAAGGTTGCTATAAAATTTGACAAAATTATTACTCCGATCTTTTATTCATGTCTCTTTTTTTAAAAAAAAAGACATTGTAGTACAGATTAACAAATGGAAAACTGTGCCTCTGCTTCAGATGTCAGAATCGCGATGGTGTGCGACACGGATCAGAATTCTGAATAATTCTTCCCCAGTCCCAGGCCAGTACAGTCACACACGAGTGCCTCTCATCTCCGGTCTGAGCAAATGCAATTATTTCTCTTTGGCTTTTTCTTTAATATGCGGGAAAAGCCTTGCCGAGCTGACAAGTGTATATCTGCATTCCTCTTCTAGGGGAAAAAAAAACGAAAAAGCACTGGTAAAATGATTTGCCAAATTGCTAACGGAACATAGCCATAATAAATGACGGGCTTGCTACTGCAGATCCGATGAATAGTGTGCTGTTACGTGAATAAAATTAAAAAGCTGCATGCCTGCTTCCAGCTCGGCTTGATGCGAGGCGGATATGTCAAAGTGGATGACCTAGTTTTTCCGTCTCTGAAATTTTCAGGAAGAGAATTGGGTAACCGCAGTTCAAGCACTGTTCAGCCCAGAAATGAAAAGACCGCAGCTACGTTCTGCTGTGTATTTTTGTGTGAAGGTGGGGGGGTTGTAACTGTGGCTGCAGGCAGTCTTCAGAGCTGTTAGATATTGAATCAGTCTGCTGTGTCCGTTTGGGGACCGAGATTGAGAGAGTTTGGAGATCGGGTGTGGTTTGGCCCCAGATCAAGTTCCTGGGCAAGAATAAGGAAGTGAGTATGGGATGCATTAGCTGTGCTATATAAAGAAATTAATAGAACTGTAGAGCCCGTTTCCGCCTTGCAAATCAATGGACCTGTGTGTTTAAGATTTAAATCTTTATCTTGCTCTTATTTGCGGCCATTTTTTTTAAAAGCCCCCACTATGGAAATGTTGGTTTTATCCAGTGGGAACATTTTCTAAGGATAATGATGTGCTCAGAAAAACTCAAAATCCCTGAAAAGTGGTGGGAATCGTGCTGGAGCTGTTGACTTTAAGCTAAAGGCTGGCGTTCTCTCTGACGTGTGCCTTATCTGTGGTGAAAGGGTTTTGATCTATTTGTATTGGGTGATCTCAAAAATATCTGCACCGTGGAGGATTTGAAGTGTTACTTAAAAGTAGCAAGGAAAGTTACAGTGTGGCATGATGTACCTAATCGGAAAATGTTTTGCAAACCAGCTCTTGTAGTTGATTTCGGTTTTGAGTGAATGAAGGCTTGGGGACATTTCTGAGGAATCGCACCCTCATTAGATAAGTCACCACTCCGAATGCAGTGCACATTGCAGTGTGGCGTAATGCTTTTCAGCCCATGCATGTGGAGCACAATATGTCCTGGCCTGTTGGCATGAAGGACTCAAGGTGGTCTGTCCAGGTGGCAAGTCCATGTAATTGTACAGCAGCACCTTTCCACTGAGGCTTTAGCAAACCTGGAACTATTCTATTGGGGTTGTAGCGTCTTAGTTGCTTCCTTAGAAAAAATGTGCAGAAAGCTGGAGCTTTTAAAGCTCATTCAGATCTGAACTCCCATGTTTTTGTGAGACACCTAGAAGGTGTAGGGCTCTTGTCCTGTGCTTGCCTTCACGTGACAATTTAAATGCTAATTGGCCCGCGATGCGTTCTTCTCAATGTTAGGGAGCAGGGCCTACAGCTATGAGGGCAAATGCAGCCCTGACTGCTGTTTTCTGCAGCGCCAAGGGGCCTGTGGAGCTGCTGGCTGCCAGCGGTCACGATCGCATCAAAAGGACAATCAAAGAGCAAAGTCCTTCTCTGTAGGTGGAAGCTGGCCGCCAAGGGTGCCGTCGTTTTTGAAAAATCGCCGATTTTGAATACTTCTCCAAATAAAATCTCTAGTATTAAAATTGTACTCACCGGAGTGAATGCTTTGAAAGGGCGGAGGGGGTGAGCTCGTGTCAAGAGCCAAGACAAACTGAGTGTTCTCAAGCCAGGCTGCGCTGTGAGGCTAATGGGACCAAGTCGATGCCGTGTGCTTGGAGTGAATTCAGCACGTCACCGGAGTATTACTGCGAGACGAGGGTAACGTTCCCATTATGTCTGACCTGACAAGCTCTGTGATGTTTGTTTCACAGGTTTTGTACATGGTGCCTCGGGCCGCTGTCACCCGAGCTATTTTTTCAGTTGCGTTAAGTGTCTGGGCGCAGGCCGGAGTGCTGTATGTTTTCTGCGAGAGCTCTTTCTTAGGTTCTGTCTTAATCTTCCCGATTCTGGCATCTTTAAGATGCAAATTTCTTTCAGTCTCCTTTTTCATGCAGTATCTGGAAATTATTGGTTATATAGGTGTAGAGTAAGAGCCATGTATATAGTAATAAATAGTTTTCTGATATTTTGTAAAGAAGCAGCTTTTAGAAAGATTGAAACCTGAGCCGTTTCAGGACATTTGAGATCAACCAAAAATACAATATTTGGTTCGGAATGTCAAACAACCACATGCACACACAAACAACCACAACCACATGTCCTAACAATGTCGAATATATATGCTATCTGGAGGCAGTGCTACAAGAAATGAATGATTTTCATTGATTTGTAATGCTGTTTACATTAAAGACACAAGTGGATGTTTCCCCATTAAGACTGTTAGAGGTCGGGACAGTGCAAAGCACTAGCCTTATGTTCTTAATTAGCTTTAGTAGACCCCCCCCCCCCAGTTTTAATCCCCAAGCTGCTCTGCAATTTGCTATGTCAGCTGCAAAAATTAAGATTTATTGTTAATGTGAATAAACGTAGCTTGAAGTTAAGTGTGAGGTCGCTCTTGATTTATCCAAGTTTGGAAATGATTGGCGAGACACAGGAAATTTGTTGCCAACCCCCTAAACATCCGAAGCGTTTCTGTGCTCTAGTGGGCTCTTATATGAGGGGATTACTGCTGCTGGTTGATGGTGCTTTTTGTCGGTGAATTTATAATGTCAAGGTTAGACTGCAGTAGCATTTAAGCTTTGGGTTCAAGTCCCGGAAGGGGCATTGCTGCTGTACCCCCGAGCTAGTGATAGTCCAGTAACATGCCTTGCAGTATGAACGGATGCCGCAATGGAGGACTGGTGGAGGGATTGAGAAGCAAGTGCCTTTCTGTGGAGGGGGAGACGTTGGAGTGATGGGCAGTTCCCAATCAAGTAGCACCTTTTTCACCTGGCCTGAGTGGCCTTCTTGTCACCCCGGTGGGTGCTGTTGCTTCAGGGGTGGATGAAAACGTAATCCGTGGCAGTTTGCAAATGCACCCTGTTATTATTAAGTCTGTTAAAGCACCTGTTGGGCTTTAGGCCTTTTCTTTCTAAATAACCAAAGAGACCTGATTTGGGCTTATGTGGTTTTTTTTGGATTTTTTAAAACAATCTCTAAATATATTTGCTTTGAGGTTATCCAATGTGAAAACTGGACTGTTGGTCCGTTGTAGCAGATTTGTTGTCGAATTTCCATTTAATGATAGACAATCGGAGATTTTGTACTAGCTCTGTAATCTATAACTTGACTGTTTTATACTTTTTTTTTATACAGTTGTGTGGCGAAGAAGCTAACAGCAGCGATACAGAGCTGTGAGGAAGGTGTAAGTAGATGCATCAAGGATCATGATGTACTCCGCTTTGTCATGTAGAGAAGATGTTAGATGAGATGCTTTTGGTAGCCATTGTGTTCTCCAAACTATCCATTTTTCTCCTGGCCATGTTAAAGATCTTCACCATCAAATGCGGTGACACTTATGCCAGTAAACACTGTTCCTAGATCGTGTAGCCGCACCCCTGAGCCGAATGCTGTTCTAAAGAAAGGCTTAACTTGGTTGAAAATGGGTAAAGCTTAGTCTTTTAAAGCCAGTTAATCCTTACTGTAACAGTTGGTGCTGCTATGCCCTTCTGAATGTTGTGCTGCAGCTTCCCCCAGTAGTATACCTGAGTTTGACCCCCTCCCCGTGGTTACTTGTACAGTGCTCAGTTCTGTTTTTGTGAGCTCTGCAGTATATATAAATTCGTTACTTGATGCGGTTGCTAAGCAACAGCCAAATCCACTATTTACAGTTAATAAAAACTGAGTGACATTAACGCATGTTGTAATGTTAGGCAAGGGGTGAACTGTATGTTAAGGTAGCAGAGAAGAAATGAAAAGACAGGGCTCTGTGTAGCAGAGTGGTGCTAAGCGGTTTAAGTACGAATAAAATTAATGAGGTAATTGGGGGGGGGATTTCTATTTCTATGTAAAAGATTTTTCAGTAGATCTCCAATCTCCAGTGAATCCTGGGTTGAGGCTGAGCTTCAGGTTCTGCAGAAAGATTGTGATTTGTGTGCTGTATCCTTTTCCGGTTCTCTGTAGAAGTTCTGGTAGAGTCACGAGCGCTTTTCTGTCAAGTACCACAGCATAAACGGTGCTAAAAAAAAACCTTAGACGCACCCATCCCTACAGGCTGTGGCAGTGATGTGTGGCAGTGATGTCTACAGTTGATCTCAAGTGATCATGTTATTTCTGGAGCATTAAAACTACCCTTTTCTCTTTTTGTTTCATCTTGCAGGTTTCGAAAGCATTTTGGAAGGGCTGTTTGGACCAGGACTTGTAAAAGATCTCACCCTATTCAAAGGTAAAGAGCTGTAATTGCTGTCACGAGTATCCTGTCAAGATGTAACTGTGAATGTCAAATGTTGGGTGACACTGTGGCATTGCTGTGAGGCTGCGGTGTTAACTGCTATTGGTTCCTGGGGGTTTCAGTTTGTGACTGGGGTGACCTCTGTGTGGAGTTTGCATGTTCTCTCCTCTTTCACATAGGTTTTCGCTTGGTTCACTGCTCTCTACCCAGCTTGCACAGACCAGGCTAGCTGTGCTCATTCTCTTTGTTCACCCATGCCTACATCGTGTGATCCTCCAGGGTGTGTCCTGCCTTGTTCCATGTGCTCCTCATTGGGGATAAGCCGCTTTCTGATGAGAGGTGGATATCGCAAGATACCTGTTGCAGTGTTTATGGAGCAGCATAAACCTTAATGTGATCTATCCTGTAGAATTAAAGCTGCATGGAAGGCAGACGACAAGACAGGATGTTATTAAATATTGTGGGGTTTTATGCCTTTGCTGAAGGCTTTAAATATTGGCCATTATTCTCAGAACATGGCTGTTCTGCGTCCAGACTGACAAAACCTAACCCCTTTCAGAAGCCTGATTAGTCCTTAATCTGCTCCTTATTTTAATGCATCAGGTCTTTTAATTTTAATGATGTGCAGAAGGAAATAAAGCCGTTAAAAGAATGCACTTTACGAATGTCTGGTTCATGTGTTTTTAGCGACTGTATTGATAATGGAAGGTCAAACATACAACAAAAATAAACATTTCATGCATTCCTTTGCATGCTTAAAAGCTTTAACTCTTTTGCATTTTTGAATCGGTTCACAGTATACCATAATTTCAGGGTTTTCAAAAAAACATGCTAAAAGGCTGTGCGTGAAATGTCTTTGTGGTTTAAGTATCTAGTACCCGGGAGCTGTACAGTTTTCTTCCTTGCCTGACACTTCCACATTGAATGCTCTAGCAGTCAGTATCTTGTGCTGCTTTCATTTTTAATGTTGAGTCTGAGCTTTGCTGGCAGCAAGAGGCATAAAGGTCTCTATGCTACTCCAGAATGCAGAGCAGGTGCTTTTGTTTTTACAAGCCTAGTGCCACACAAATGCAGGTGACCTAAAAAGTCAGTTGGCCTAATTTATCAATAAAGCAGTCTTTAAGACCCTTTTTGTAAAACCTTATTTATGTAAAATGGCATTTTTAAAGGTTCTTCTCCTTTGTTGCTTTATTTTTATATATATATATGGATGTGGTCTACCAGTACCCATTGGAGGGAAAATGGCCATCTTGCACCCCGTTTCATGTGCTGCAGGCAACAGGACAGGTGAGGTCAGGGTGGCACATGAGTTATCTGTATGAAACAGTATGATCTTGGGCGGCATTGATTTATGAGGTTTATTGTAGAATGTTTATTAGAAGGTGTAAACAAAATTGGTTTGCAACACTGCTGACAAAAGAAGCAGTTCACTTTGTTTTGAAAGTAAAGGACTTAAACCACTGTGCTCTTATGTTTTTATCAATTAATGGTGAGCAAAATCAAAACATTTGGTGGTAAAATCTCCTTCAGGATTTTTTTGTCTTTTTATAACTATTTTTACTCTTATTGGGCTCTGTAGCATGAAAACAATTACAGGTGATCAGTGTATTTAAAAATGGGAGATTCAGCCTTTTCCTTTCTAAGTTTCATAGTTTGTCTTTTTACAGGGTTTGGCTTTATCGAAATATACTGGAAGACAGAAACACAAGAAAGAAATGCCACTTGAGATTTTATACTGTCATAGCAAAAAATGCCTTTTCATTTGTGAATGGGTTTCAGATGGAGTTTGGTAACTCATGTGCTTAACCTGACATGTTGTGTAGGTAATGGCATGGTGTCTATTTTACCTGTACTGCAACAGCAGGGTCTTAAATTTCCTGCCGTTAGGTAGTGCTTTTCATCCCCATGGATCATATAGTGCTTGTGACTTTCTGCAGTAAACAAGAGGTCTTATGCATTTTAAGGTTCATTTAGTTGCATTTAAGTGCTTCATGTAAGTACAGGAATTAAATATTTTAGTGTTTTTTTCTGATCTAAAACATTTTTGCCTTTATTAAAGCTTACAAGTACAAACACCTGCTCCACAGCAGTAATGAGAAATTCACACAGCAGCATGATGCAATGTTCTCAGTTTAAAAAAAATATTCTTGCAAAAGAGGCATCAAGCACGCTCTTCACATTAGAAAGATTAGAGTATGTAGGTTAGTGCAAATTGTTAAATCCAAACTTATTGCAACATACATCAATATGACTGGCTGGGGCTAAGCATACTTTTAATAACTGGTACATACAAATAGCCTGAAAAAATGATGTATTCCAAATGTTACATAGTATTATCTTCAAAATAGTACATTTAGTGTTGAGGCCTGGTCCTGATTTGTATATTTCTGATACTTGTTTGAGCTGTTTTTTCTGAATGTTAAAGTTTGGTCTGCCACTGGCCTTATACATTTTCTCATTTCCTCACTTTGCTTTCTTGACTTTTCTCCTCATTTGTCCTTTCCCCACTGTTCCCTCAAACATTTGCTGTTTTAAAACCAGTGGGCTTACGCCAGAGCAGCATGACAGCTCTGGGGGGGGTGTGTGTGGCTACAGTACTTGAGTGACAACGGGACACGAGTGTCTGTCAGTGCGGAGGAGGAGTCGTTGTAGCACACAAGGATGGGTCATGAACAAGGCAGGGAGGTTGCCGTGTTGTGTAAGCTGTACAAATACAGCGATGTCAGATCAAACGTAAGGTGTTTTTTCACATGAGCAACAATACATTTGTGGGCTTCCCAGAGATCTCTCTTTTTGAGTACTGGAGGAAGATTGTTCCAGTTTCCTGCCAAGTAATACAAATACCAAGCGGATCTACTTGACGGATGCAAAAGACACTCATGAGAACCAACCAAATCATTTGTCAACTTGATCCTCATTTTCCAATGGATATTTCTGCCAATTGTACTCTTTAATGGTTTTGTTGGGCTCACTGTTATCTAGCTCCCATCCTGATGTAGTGTGAGTAAAAATGCAATCACCTGTTGGGCGATTACTCAATGGCTATGAGAGTCAACATAACCTGTTGACTTGATTTCCAAAGTATTCAACTTGAGGAGAAAATTAGGTACAGGTAAATATAATGGTCTGCAGAAACTCCTGGAAAACCATTCTGGGTGAGACTGAAGCTGTGAGTGAAATGGCCAAAAATCTGTTTTCAGGATTTCTCCCATGGGTTTAAAGCAGTGAAGTGCTGATTCAGCTCCGAGCTGAAATGAGCTGGTAAACTCACAGCTGGCAACCCACTGAAGCTAAGCAGGTGTGAGCCTGGTCAGTACCTGGGTGCGAGACCTCCTGGGAAAAACTAAGGTTACTGCTGGAAGAGGTGTTATGCCCCGGTATAGTGATGGGGAAACTATACTGTAAACAGGTGCCGTCCTTGCGTCCTTCAGACATAAAACCTAAGTCCTGACTCTCTGTGGTCATTAAAAATCCCAGGGCGTTTCTTGAAAAGAGTAGGGGTGTAACCCCGGTGTTCTGGCCAAAATTCCCAATGGCCCTTACCGATCATGGCCTCCTAATAAACCCCATTTATGAATTGGCTTCATTACTCTGCTCTCCTCCCCACTATGTGTGATGAGCGTTCTGGTGCATTATGGCTGCCGTCGCATCATCCAGGTGGGGCTGCACATTGGTAGTGGTGGAGGGGAGTCCCCATTACCTGTAAAGCACTTTGAGTGGATATATAAGTGTAAGCAATGTTTTCCAAGGATGTTCTTAATTTTTTTTTCCCCAAATACTGCAATGTTTCACCTGCTAACAAGTGCTCATCCTGGGTCATTTAAGGCACTGGTTTATGTGCAGGTATTTTCATTTCCCATAAATACTCCTGTTTTTCAACCTCCCATCTTGGTTTCTGTTAGGGCAAGAACATAAATGTACACTAGCAGATGATTTATAGCCTAAACACGGCTTTGTGAACTGTCTTTTCCCACACACATTCAATTATTGACCTTTTCCCTGCCTGTACAATGAGCAGTCATATTAAAAGAAGAAAAAAAGTGAAATTTTCTCTGGATAAGGCAAAATCCTTCTATGTACAACTTTGCTTGTTTGCAGTGGGTCCACATTGCCAAGGGTGAAGACATTTTTGTTTTTTTTGTGGTGAACAGCTCCTTTTCTGTACTGTTCTGTTAAGGAGAAAAATGCACACAGCCAAGTGAAAAGCAACAGATGAAAATTGGCACAAGGCATCATAAATACCTGCTGCGAGAGTGCTACTGTATTGTGCAGTTTGGATTCCTCATTTCTAGGGAATGCTTTTGGAATATTGGAGACTTCTGCATTTTGCAATGTGATGGAGCAGGCAAGCCCATCAGGAGGAAAAAATGGTGCTCTGGAGATGGATAGAATACATGTGCTGCAGTTTCAGGAAATGCGTCAAACAAAACAATCCTTTGTGAGTGGATGGGCTTATTTAAAAAAACAACAACATGCTGTATGAATATTAATATGCTGCAGTGTGCCCTGGGTTGCAGACTGTTTCCACTGCTAAAGCCAAGCACTCCTTAAGATTGACATGTCTCATAAGAGCATGATGCCATATTTAAGGACATTTTTTGGAATCTTGCATAAATGTTCACTTTTTTTTACTTCGTTAGAGCTTTAGTTGCGTATTGATCTCGGTAATCGATAAAGTATTTTGTTAGGACACAAGATTTAACAAGAAGCTGGAATTGGTCATATCTGACCATGCCCAAGTATGACCACCTTTGACTAGTGCCATAATCTTCTAATGTGGCATTAGAATTTGCATTCAAATGAACATGGGGATTTATAATTCAAGCAGTGTGGGAGACATTACAGAACTGATTGTTTTGCATGGACAGAGGTTGACTCCTGAGCACACTCTGGAATTAAAACGCAGAATCCTGGACCAAGAAGAACCAAGAGGCAGCACTAGATCATTGTTTCATTTCTTTTTAGGCTGCAAAGGAACAAGTAATAGGTTTATTCCATGCTGAAAAAAGAAGAAGAAAGAGAACACAATGTTTCGGCTGTGGAGCCTTCGAGCCCACACCTGAAGAAGGCTCCACGGCCGAAACGTTGTGTTCTCTTTCTTCTTTTTTTCAGCATGGAATAAACCTATTACTTGTTGCTTTACAAAGAAGGCTATTTAAATTCAGTAGCTGGTTTTATTATCCAGGACCTGCAAATAATCGCAGATGGTGGCTTTTGGAGATCAGCGGAACTGCATGTGTGAATACTAAAAGAAGTGCTCCAACCAATATTAGGAAATATGCACGTCTTCATGCTCAAATGTAGGTACCATTAATAGGTTCTGAGATGGACCTTAATACAGTACTTTGACTGTTGATAATTGCTCATCAGTAAGTGGGTTGCCCCCACATACAACAACCAATAAAATATCTTTAAGATATAACATCATTTAGTCTATGGTCTAAAGTCTGGTAAATACAAGTGTTTCCCTATTGCTTTTTATGGATCTTTGACAAATTGCAGCCTAGACTGTAAAACATTGGTTTATGCATTTATGATAGAAATTATCAGATGCATATATGGCCTACGTCTTTATCAAAAAGACAACCTACCATAACCAGCTTCAGAGTTTATTGGCACTAGCCTTAATAAACTCAAAACATCAAAGTTATGAAATGGCCTTGAGAAATTACTTCCTGATGTTATTTGTCACTCTCGAACTGGATTTATCGTACAACTGATTTGATGTGTGCAACACTTTCCCTGGATTGCTGATCTCTGTAGATGTAGAGAAGGCCTTTAAATGACAGGTTTGTCAGGTTGTTTCATTAAATGAGCTAAACCTGCCTGTGCATCCAATAAACCAGTGACATTCACTGCTGGTCCTGGAGGGCAGCAGTGCATTACAGGTTTGTGTGTGACTGGTTCATTGTCAGACTAGTCATGGAAGCCATGGTGAGACAGTGAAAGACTAAGTGAAAAGCTAATAAACTAATAATTGCTTACACTTATGTAGTGCTTTTCTGGACACTCCACTCAAAGTGCTTTACAGGTAATGGGGATCCCCCCCACCACCACCACCAATGTGCAGCCCCACCTGGATGATGCGACGGCAGCCATAGTGCGACAGTATACTCACCACACATCAGCTATCAGTGGGGAGGAGAGTCATGAAGCCAACTCGTAGATGGGCATTATTAGGAGGCCATGATTGGTAAAGGTCAATGGGAAATTTGGCCAGGGCGCTGATGTTACACCCCTACTGATTTTGAGAAACGCCCTGGGATTTTTAATGACCGCAGAGTGGCAGAGTTCAAGCGCAAGTGGCACAAGGCATACATATCTTTCTCGTGATGAATATTCTTGCTCATTATGCCACATTATCACAACTGCTAATGAATTTGATGTCTTGGATCTGAAATTAATTATAGCAAGGTGCAGATTGTGCCTATAGGAAATCACACTTGCTTCCTCTTTGTCCTGCAGGGCTCCTGATTAGTCTCCTGAGGGTCTTGTATACACAAGTGTCAAGGTCACCATCTTGGTGTCTCAGTTGTATAAGGCCAGCATTATACCTTAATTACTGTGCCGATAGGCAGATGGTAAAGGCTCCTGGTTTCAGTTTTGGGTAGTTTAAGTTTAGAATTACTTCTTGTGACACTTACATCATTAGTAGCCAAATAACTAAAGATTCTAAAGCTATTCCATAAGGTTTGAGCTGGAATGAAGCCTGACCACAATTACCTCCCGATAAAGCCAAATCATTTTGGTGGTTTAGTTTGCCCAAGTACTTGATCTTACACACTTCTTGATTGGGTCCACTGACTTTTCCCCAGTGGGATCTGCACCAAGCTCCCCAATCCTGCTGCAGTACAAACAGCCACTAGTGCATTCAGAGAAAGGTTGGCATTTTGCAAAATTAGTTCCTATAAAATTGGTATACACACAATCTTTGTAATGGCACTGATCATGGCTCCATTATTGTTTAGCCTCTGTTAATCTTCCTCCCATACTTATTGGTCTGCTTGGGGGGAGGGGGTGAATTATTTACTTAAAATCCCCTTACAAAATGCTGTTTTCTCTAAGCTTTTGGCTAGAAGAGTAATCCATAAGTACAGCTATACTAACTTCTAATTAAGGAGGAAAGAAAGATGGAAACATGCCCCCTATTCAAGTCGCAGACCAAGACTGAGTGCTTAGGTGTCACTGTGACGGACTTAACAGCGATAACTACAAGCAGGTGTTGAGACTTAAAACTATTCAACCCTGCCTGCATTTTATATCTGCAGTACAAGATGAAGTAGCTGCTTTTTTTTCGAATCAGAATATGAATCATTTACTACATTTCTAAATTTAAGCAAAAAGGACAGAACTGCCTTGATCCCAAACTCAAACACTTTACTAAGCCAAATAAAAAAAAAAAATAATGCCAGCTCACTGGTTTCTTAATGTCTAGGCCTTAAAGTTGTTTTTTGGTTATGTTGCAAAAAAAATTCACTGTGGCAAGTTAAAAAGAAATCATGTGACCTATTTGACCTGTTATGAAACACTCAAAACCTTTGTTAAATTTTAATGGACATTTTTCCATTCAGCAGTATGACCATTTTTTCTTACACTTGTATTTGTACCTTACTGAAATATTCAGCCAGTGTTTTAAGAGGTGTGAACCTGCGTCAAACAGAGGAAAGGCTAGCCTAATGGGACACTTAAAATAGCCTTGTCTTCTTTTTATGTGTTAATGAACTGTGCTGTTTGTAATGTCTCTTTCAGGACATTGAGCATCGGTGGTGCTTTTTATACCTTCAAAGTTCATTTTGTCTTATTGATTAGGAACATATTTGATAGTTTTCCTGTAAGCATTTCTTCAGACTTCAACAATCTCAAAATTTATTTGTTAGAGACCCTTTCTTTGTTTGAACCCGTAAGCACAACTGAAGTGTACCCTTAGATTCTGGTCACCTTTTGCAGGAGCTGAGATACTGTAGCAGGAGCTGTGTTACCAGTGTGGTAAATGAACTGAGGCATCACTCCTGTGCTGGAGTTTGTCTTATTCCTCAGATCATAGATGTCTGTGGGCTGCAGCAGCACTGCTTTGGTTAAGCTTGTTCACAGGTAGTTTTCATCTGTGCACCGATAATTAAGCATTGGAATATTAAGGTACCCATTTGTCACCTGTTGCATATACTAACTTGTGGATTTATCTTACAGGCATTCAAAAGGAGTAAATTATTCCTTGTTCTGTCTAGTTGCAAAAATACTTCTGAAGTGTGAAACTGGGTTTTCTGTACATTTTATTTGAACTGGGGAATTAGGTGTAGGTGTATTAAAAGTGCGATTGAAACCTTTTTTAGCACAATTAAAACAAACCTGCCACGTAATGTTTCAAGGTGTCTAAACACCCGCAGTGTATTGAAATGAGCCTTCCGCTGCTTTAGAAGGAAACTGACTGCCATGGCAACAATCCTGACATGAATTTATTGAAGCTGTCTGCATCAGGCAACAGTGGGTTTTTTTCCCCTTTCTTTTTTTAGCAGAAATGATTTGATTTCAGGATGATACGAGAAAGTGCTTCTGCTCTTAATTGGTATCGCGACCTCCGTGATGTTCCTATTAAGGCATCAGATGTTTGTGGCCTTCCCTTCACGATGTGGTCTCCTCAGTGGTTCCCAGCTTGGGTTCTGAGGGTGGGGGGTGTCTCTTCTGGCTCTTGCTCTGGCCAAATTTGTAATCACAGGCTAAATGATTTTTTTTGACGCGTTGCTTTGATTCTCTCCTTTCGTTCGTTCATTGTAAATTGACCACATAATTAAAGCTGAGTCCAGAGCAAGTAAAGGAGAAAAGTTGTCTGAAACTATGCGCCTGAAGTCAGGAATTTCTGAAACTGAACCAAGAACTGAGTGCATAAACAAACCACGAGTCTAAACTAGCAGATAAACGCATGAGTAAGAAACGGCAGGGGGAACAGTTGGCATGAGAGCCAACAGACACAGGGCTTCCCAGGAAAAGGCGGAGTGTCTTCAGCCTCTTCTAGGCTAAAAAGAATGTAGCTAACGAGCATGACCACACACCCGTTCTACACCTATTTCAGCTGTCAGAAATCCAGTCCAGAACAGAGAGCGTTTTCCTTCACCGGAGCCAAGGAAGGCAACTGTTTCCTGAGTTTTGCAATTATTTCAATGCAACCAGGCTTGGTGATGGAAAGGGCACACACACGCGGTGTAGGTGTGCTGAAGTGTTAAAATAGTGTCCAGGAGATGTGTTCAGCTTGAGTCGTTTGGAGGGCATCTGTCCTGCCCTCAGGTGGGTTTTGTTGTAGGTTCAGGAGGGAGTAGTTAATCCAATCCACAGTTTTGAAGTGGGTTGATTTTTCTTGTGGTATGCAGGTGCTTCGAGACCTATGGACTCAGTCTTGTCCTTATTGCTGATTAGTAGTTTACTTGTCAAGGCTATTGCAAAGGGATTATCTGCAGTGAATCCAAGGTCCACTGCTCTTCAGTTTTTTTGGATATTTTACATGTTTTAGAAGCAGTAAGTCAACACCCTGTTTTTACCTGCATAGTGGATGCTGGATATTTTTTTCTTTTGCTCTTCATCTTTTGCAGTGAGATTACACATCTTGAATGTTGTCTTGTCGTACTTGCTTTAATCTCAGAACTCGGCTGCATTTTGATGAAATGTGTCTGAAATGTTCTTGTTTTGCTGGGTCCACAGATTGCGAACCAGAAGTCGTATCAGATTGGTCATTTGATGAAAATTGTCTCTTCTGCTGCTTAAGACGAGAAAAAGTAAAGGTAACTTCCTCTTCATGTCTGTCTGTGTTCCTTTTTGCTGTTATTTTGCATTTTCATTCAGTGGCCGACACCATATAGTGTATATATATCTTTGGAAGACCAGAAGTTTTCTTTTGAGTCCTTTTAGTCCTTTTTTATGCAGCCCATATATTTTAACGTAAGGCGTGGTTGTTGGCACTTTTACTTCAAAGCTCATGGGTTCTGACCATAAGTCCTGCTTGGAGACCCTTGTATGTGGGGTTTGCATGGTCTGTGTGGCCGTGTGGGTGTTCTTTGCTCCTTTGCTTCAGGGCAACTGAAATGGCATTGCCTGCAGTTGTAAAATCATGGGCTTGTAGTTGTTTTCCTGTGATGATGATTCTGTAATTAAGATGCTGTAGTGAATATATCGCTATGCATTTGTATCAAATTCGATTAAATTTGCTTGATTAGGCTCTAACCCAGATAAAGCAGGTGCTGGAAAAGGATGCATACCTAATGTCAAAAATGGTGATTATCCCTTTTCACACACAGCTTCTCTCATACTCACCACTGCATTCCTGAACCATAGGCACCTTGTGTGCTCCACCATACAGTCTGCCTGACTGCACACTGGTTCTAAATTAGAACAAGCTGGCATTAGATGTCCACTCTTACATTTATTCATTTGACAGATGGTTTTATCCAAAGCCATTCAATATGCAAATAACAGTAGTATTTGATGAGCATAATCATGTCATTGCCAATGATCCTCCCAGATGACTACATACATTGTGCTGGCAGCATATCAGGCATTGTTTATACATTAAATATTATACAGGCATTAAATATGAGGGCTCTTCCCGTAGTCCTGACAGTTCTTCATCGAACCTGTATGGTCGGTGTTACATTGTTGATCCTTGCCTGTCTCTTTGCTCACTAAGTGATTGGTTTTCTCTGGTCTTTAACAGCGTTCTTCTCTGTTAAAGAAAAGAGAGACTACCGACACACTTGGTCTGCTTTTCTTGTGTATTTCTGTTCTGTCTGTGCCCATGCCAGTCACATGGTGGACACATCGGAAGCCAGCATCGTTATTATGGGGTGATGGGTCACATTCATGTGGAACCCGGAGCTCCAGTTCTGTAGCACATGGTTCGAGTTAGGATACTTTATTATGAAAGCTAGTTGGTTCTTACTGCTAGATGGTAGGAGGGCAAAAGTCATTTTTAAACAGAGGGGATTTTGTTATTTGTAGTGCATGTTTAAGTAGGCCGGCCTTTTAATTTCTTATGGATATTGGAACACTAAGGCAGGGTCTGAGGCGTGAAGGTGTTTCATTGTAAAACTGAAGACACTAGTGTACAGGTGTATTGTTAACAAAAGTCTTGTACAAGGGAGGTATAGAGATTACTTAACAGGGAGGCAAGAAGTGTGATCTATGCTTGTTCTGCAGCTACAAGTGGAATTTTTTATGGATAATAGCTCGAAGGCCATTCCAGCTAATAATTACATCAGTATTACATCAGTTGGTAATTGTAAACCTTTTTCAGAGTTAGGAGGAACCTCCATTCCCAAGGTATTCATAAATTGGGAGATCTTCTGTACTTTTTTTCCCTTATAACTAATCCCATTGGGATGGGGATGTCTATGAACTGCCTCCTGTGGGATTTACTCTTAAATGCCTTCGAGAAGAAAGAGACCGAAGCAATGACCTAGAGCTTCTCTGATTTGCTTATGTAAATTGATCAAGTGTTAATTTAGTTTCTACAATTAATGACCACTGTAAATGTTTTGTTACACTGATTTAGCCAAAAGGATAGGAATCACTCTAGGATTTATAGCAGACAAAATGGTTCAAGAGAAAAATCTCCTGGAATGCCATCTGGAATATTTTGGAGACTGTTTCCAAAATTAAAATATCGGGAATTTGCAAACTTTAAGAGTTCAATTCCTGGGGTGCTATCTTCATGTATAGTTTGTGTGATCTCCCGGTGTTGAACTTCCTCTGAGTGCTCTGGTTTCCTCCCACTGTCCAAAGACATACTGGTATGTCTAATTGGTTTCTGGGAAAATGAGCCCTGGATATTGCCTGTTTGCCTGTTTTATGCCCTGAAATGGGCTGCCCAGGATGTGTCCTACCTTGTGGCTGTTGCTTGTCGGATTAGCCTCCAGCTCACCTACGCGCCTGTGTTGGGGAAAGTAGTTTGAATAGTGGATGGATGTCTTGGACCATAGCTGGTAGAATAATGAGGTTTGTGCTGGACCTCACTTGCATCATTTCATTGTCTTCCTGCTAGCGCTGCTGTCTGATCATGTTTTTTTTTTTAAAGTACTGATAATCATATTAAGATACCTGTGAACAGTTTATGTAGATCCCATCAATGTTGCTGAAGTAGTGAAGGCAGTGAAAACATTAGAATATGAGTGACAAGCATTTCTCAATTATAGATGAGCAGCAGAGTTTGAAGAGTTTGATTAGGGTACTAAGATAGCTTTGCTCTACCTTGGAGCTAGATGGATTTTCTGAAAACAGTGGTTAATTGACTAAACAATTAATTAAACAGTCATACTCACGATGAATTATTCTGAAGTTAACTGTGTTTGACTGTTTTTTGTTGATCAGTCAGTTTGTTCTGTGATGGCGAATTAGATGCCCTAACATATTCACGTTGCCAGGTTGATACCAACAACATTCCCTTTTCTGTGCTGGCTGAGGCATTGCTGTTGTGTAGTTAAAACCACCAGACCTGTAAGCCAGCCGAATGTGCTTGCACCTTTGCACATTCCAGAGCTTCCTTGATTCTCCTGTAGTGTTCATTCAGGACATTGAACAGGTCTAGAGGTCACCATTTAGGGCTTTAACACCTGTGTATCGTGGTCATTCATGAATGATGCCAGAAACATTTAATCAGTGGTTCATTGATGATATAGATGAGTGTGCACTGTCTTATGAACAGTGATCAACAGTGTATGAACAGTGATCTGTATAATCCCTTTGATGTCTGTTTTTCAACAAACCGTAGCACTTTCATTTTTGTTTTTTAGCTTGTTTCACCAGTGATGCCATTTCACCTCCTTATGCCTTCATGGTTTAGTTGCCTGTCCATCTTGACTGCTCTGAATGTGATGGGACAATGTGATGTCCATGTCTGTACTGTGTAATCGGTTTTCTAATTTTTCTTGATTTATTGCCCTGGGACTGGTAAAAGCCAACATAAGGCTAAATCAGCCTTTGCTCATTGCTGAGCTATATAGACAGACAAAGGTCATTCCAGCCATCATCACAGACACTCCCCCACCGGCCGTCCAGAAACACCTCCACACGGCCCTCCCTGCGGCTCTCGCCGGCCGCCAGGCGAACCAGCGGCTCTGCGAGCAGAACACTTGTCAGCTTCTCACGGGCCACGGCTGTCATGCTGTACAGAGGTGTCCTCTTTTTCAACGGGCACCCTGCTGTTTGGACTTTGAAACAGATGCTCCTTATCTTCTCCTCAGTCTCCCCAGTGTTCACAGAAGTCCGCTCCTGTGTATATCGAAGTATTCTCAACCTGAGTTTTTTAGTTTCACCTGAAGCCATCTGTCTGATGCTAGAAGTGTAAAACAGTTAAGGATTATGCAGTTGTAGGCATGAATTTCTACATTGTAAACAAGCAGGAAAACCTTGGATTTGGTAACATGCTGCTCATAACCAAATTACATTAAAGTTCCCTTTTCTGTGAGTGCTTTAAAATCAATTTTAAGCTGCTTCATTCTTGTGTCCTGGTTTAGACTTCTGAGTGTGGAATGGCTTGATTCTGCAGTGGGAAAAAGTGTTGTTCATTGTGGTTATACAGTGCTTTGCCATACAGCTGTACTGTTAGAAAGCCATTGCCTGAAATCCCCTCCAGGCTTGTAAATGGTATAGCCCTCACGCCTCAGACAGCAGTTTAAGGTTTTCATGTCCCAAATAGAAAGACATGTTCATTATGTATAATGCTGCGAGAAACAGGTTTTCTTTTTAGTTGTTTCAAGAGCGTTATTTATTCACTGTGGTTTCTTATTTCTCACTCGCTTAAATTCAACAGAATGGAGCTGGGGGAGGTTTTCTCTGATATACCTCAGCCCCTCCCTGACAAAAGCATGGTAGACCTGCAAGTGTACACAAACAGCATGTGACTTGTAGTGTTTTCAAAACTGCACATGGTTTGCGATTTGATGGCTGTAATAGTCTTTAAAATGTTAAGTGCCATAATTAAACTGTCCACCTTCCACTTGGTGTGCGCTAGTTCGAAATTACCCACTGAAAGCTGGAGCTGCCTCATAGATGAAAACAGTGCATCATGTATCTACCTTAGACCGACTGTGCACAAGAAATTGACAGTTTTCTTGTCAAGCAACAGAAGTCCCTCTGAGGTTTGGACCTCTGGCACTCAGGACACCGCAGCCCTGGAGTTAAGTAATTCTAGCACTTGATGGCAGAAAGCTTCACAAAGCCTACACTAGGGGCATGTATGAGAATAATGCAGTTATTAGACTTTTAACCTTAAAATCATCTGCCGGAGGTATATCGTTATCGGGTCATGTGCTGTAGGCATTGCTCAGCCAGTTACTTTTATCATTAAAACTGTCATAAAGCTCAGGAGGTTTTTCTTGTGCTTAACAGTTGTATATCTCCATGTCGTAACTTCTTCATTACAGAAGCATACATGAATCTGATATACCGTTATTTGAATTTCCCTCCTTTTGTAGGAGGAAAAGAGCACCGCACTTTATTTTTTTTGTTTTCCAATTCATAGAACACCCCAAAATGGATTGAGCACCCAGTGAAGCAAAACATGTATAAAGTAAAAGTTTTAAGTGTTATTTACAGTTAAAATATTTGTATTCCTGTTCATATCTACAAATAATTCCCTGGATGCGCAGTTTCATATGGCACTTTATATAGACTATTAGGGATGTGCATTTTCATGTAATTTTTAAAACACAAAGCAAATGATTGCTTTCAGTCACCATCCCACTGGCACATTATTTCATTTTGTCTCATCATGTCATTGTCTTTATAA